TTATCTTTAAAACCATTTCAAAACTTGCATGATTGCATCACTCATTTGTTACAAAATACAAATCGTTACTGAATCAAGATCTAATGAGGAACATTAAATAACATGAGTAATTCTCAATCTACTCTGCAGTATAAACAGAACAGGAACGATGGCTTTGCAGTCAAAATAAAGGTCAATTTATTGCAAACACTGAACATAACTGGAGTCACTGGGCCAGTCCCTAAGAACTGCTGAGCATCTCTAACTCCCACTAACATGAGTGGCAACTCTGAATGCTCAGCATTTCTGAGGCTGAGAGCTAATAAAAAGCACCAAGAATTATAAAGTGCTTTGTTTGAGTTAATAAATGGGAAAGTGTATTTATTTTTAAACCAAATACAGTTAGTTGTCAGTATACAATTTTTTGTTGTGATAGAATAAATGTTTACAAAGCACAAATATCATGACAGAGTTGTAACAGTGTGATGCAGTTTCTCTGTACAGTAGTTCTTAATGTTGCAATTTATTCAGAAATAAATTTATGTTATAATGTGTGTCCTCTTTGCCTTCCTAAATTGTTCACAAATGAGCTATGGATTTTTTTGACCTATTAAATATTTGCCTGCCATCCCTGGAGCTTCTCAAACTCTGCTTCTCAATGACAAATCTGATCCATGGCTCTGACCAAAACAAGTCAGAGCAAGGTCCAGGTCTTACCTCAGTGACAGAGCTACTTAGGTTCAACACGTTATTCAAGAGATAAAAGGCTAAATATAACACTCTTAGTATCACAATAAAATAAATAGAAATGATACCCTGACTGCCCAGCATAACTCCCAATGTGCAAGCCTCTGTCAGCGCTCACTCTGGCTGCTTTCAGTACCTGCAAAAGGAGCAGGAGGGTGGGGAGACAGAAGTTCAGGACTTTCCTCTCCTTGTGTAAGTTCACAGGGACATTTACTGCAATATTGTCTGGATATCACAGGTATTTCTACTGCTACACAGAAAAGGAAACCATCACTTCGCTGAATAAATCAGAAAAGCATTTGTCCATTCTTAATTTTTTTTCAGTTTTTTAAAAGTGGATATTAAATACACGCAAATGAGAACAACATACAGCCTTAGGTATAAATCTCCCTCTGCATGAGCATGATGCAGGTTTTTAACATCAGGGGTGGTTGCTCACTGTCTTTCTGGATAAAAACTAGGATACAACAAATTAAAATCATATGAGGCAGATTCAAAGCAAACAAAAAGAGATGAGAAGTTATCGAATGAGTGGATGCAAGGAACTGTACACAGCTTCTAGTGTGAGCTGGAGAGGTTCTTGCAGGAGATGTTTCAGGGGATGCCCTGGCCATCAGAGGCCCCCATGGGAGCAGCAGCCATGGCAGCAGTGCTCCCCTTCCTGGAGGTGGCTCCAGGGGAAGGTACATTGCCACCCCAGAGTTGTTTCTATCACCCATAATGAGCAGCAACATTTGGCCTGTAGATCTGCTACTCTTCAAAAAGCAATTCTACTGTATTTGAATTAGATATTTAAAAACTTCATTTTTTATGTTTTCGTGCTTAGGGTTCTTTTAATGTTGAGGTTACTAGAAGCTGAAAAACTGTAATTACCTCAATTTTTTTCATACCTCCGAAGATTTTTATTGTCTTAAAGTAAATTAACCAAATTATGGTCTGTGATAAAAATAGTCACCTGTAGATTCAGTAGATAACTTTTCTGAAGATGCCAGTTTTATACTTGCTCTTGCCCTGTTTCATGCAGAGCTGCATGACAGACAAGCATAGGAATTTCACTGTGAATCCTGAACTCTGTTTCAAAATGACAGAGGGAAAAAGCCCACTAGTCCATTGAAATAAAGAACCCACATGACCTACTTAAATAAAACAAATTGCAGCTCAGAAGGAGGGCACATCCATACCAGCCAATTTAAGAATCTGAGTCAGAGCCATTCCAAAGCCTTTTCCAGGTATGAGCAAACCTATAACACCACTATTTGAATTTTCCCAACCCCCTCTGAACCCAGTCATCACAAGGAACAGGCCCTCAGAAGGCAACCTGCAGCTGTGCAGCATTTAGCAGGACAGACAGCTCTATTAGACAGCTGGACTATCAAACTAATTCAAACAATTTGCAGTGAAGACAGGGCTGGGTGATGGCCCAGCTTCAGCTAAGAATTAGACAGTAAAGTGCAGCAAACTGGAAAATAGAAGCAGGATGTATTTCCACATCCTTTTACTGACTACCCAGGAAATGTGAGTGATCCCACTGAAGGAGAAAAAAAAAATCACAAAAAATGCCACTTTTAAAACATGAGTGGGTGTGAGTATTACTGTCATCACCTATTCAGAAAGAACTTGAATCTCACACGTCACAAGTCCAGGAACACATCATGTGCTTACATGGAAATCCCCATCCTTGTGAAGTGTACATTCTGTCCTAGAGCAGATACATTACACAAACTTCTTTCCCAGAAAAACAGAGCTGCATATTCAGAGAGGTTCATCCTGAAAAGATTTCAAAAGTCTAAAGGACAGAAAGAATACAGCAAATATGATTTTACAGTGACAAGCCTAAGCATTTCAGGACTCTCCTGAGGTAATCCTTTTCAATAAGGTCACAGGGAGACAAGTTTGTCACCATTTCAGGGTAATGTTGAAAGCTACATCTCCACCCACACAGTGATTAAAGTAGCACTTGGATAGTATAAGGTACCCAGATTAAAAAAGTGCCAGGTAATAGAGCTTGGACATACACATTCACCATTTTGGCTGAAGGACTAAAGCGGAATCAGAGAAAGGGATAAAGCTGCTGCCAGACCCACAGAATGGTGCCAGCATTTATGCAATACGTTCCTAATGCGTATATCTGTAATTTACAAAATCCGCATGTGTGTGAAGCAAGGTGCAGAGAACATAACATGAAAGCATTCACAGAGAGTATCTAGAGTACTACTGAGGCTCTTACAAGGTACCAAGCCAGCAGTGCTGTAAATCACACCAGATGTGAAGATATTTCACATATGAGCAGGAAACTTAGATAACTTAGCCTGAAAAGCAGTAGTACACACTCAAGAATCTAGAAAGAATCAGAAATGGAAGGCAGATGGCCTGCCAGTCCAATGCTTACTGCATTAAACCTCAACTCACAATTTCTTGCAAAAATAGGACAAGAGCTTGAAGCCAAAAGCTATTACAAACATCTGATTCACTAGTATAAGGAAAAAAATCATAAAGGAAGAGGCAAGAGGAAGAAAACTAAACTGAAATATTAAGGGGGGGTAGGGGGGGTGTTTATCTAGTTTCCAATCACAGTCCAAAGAATATTTTCTACTTTGTGATAGTTCACAGCAAGTCAAATTTCAGTTTTTAATTATGTAGCAGTAACTGTATACATCTCACCATAGTAATTTTCTTTCAATTTTGTCAGCTGGAAATCTCCCAGGTCACAGGTGCCCATCAGTCTAGGGACATTGGGCAATTCTAAACCAGCACAGAACAGCACTGCCCTTCCTGGCCCTTTCAGTTCCAGCTTACTGAGATATGTTTTTGACATCGAAGGTTTTGCACAAAAACCTAGGATACACCATGGGCATTACGGAGACATTTGTGTCAGCCACTTTGCCTACTGGTGAAAGTTTCATTTTAAATCATCTGCAGCTCTCTGCTCACTTCTCCCACAGCACAGCACTACTTGAAATAACCAGGAAATCTGCCAAGTGATGACAGGCAATTTTGTTTCTTCATTTACACACAAGGGTGCTGGAAAGCACTCAGAGATAGTCCCAACACATCAGCTTTAGTAAATTTCTACTACATTTAACACCTCTTCATCGTTCTTTCAAGTCTGCTGGAGGAGACCAGTCAGTTCTGCTGCTTCGCTATGCCTGCAAAGGGCAGCTGCACTTCCAGGTGCTCTCAGCAAGTGGAGCCAGCTCTGCACAGGTGAAACTTACTGGCAATTTCTGGGAGAGGAAAGCCTGGCTAAAAGCTCATTGCATGCTAGTAAATGACTTGCAGGAGTTTCTCATCCACTTCTCCATTTATGTCATGACCCTTGGCTTCCAATTTTGGAAAGCAGAGTTTCTTCATGCTGGACTTAATCACTGGGCCAGGATTCCAAGTTTAAGTCTACACTGATATTATCTTTTTTTCCTCACTTCAAAATAGGAGAATGAGGACTGAGCAGAAAGGAATATATTGACTGGAAAGATATGGACAAGGATGAGAGAGGAGTTTAACTGCAGCATACATGTAATAGTTAATAGCAAGGCAGCTCATAAATGGCTGCTGGTTTTCTCCAGGAATATAAATGGGGCATTGTATTACAAAAACTAAAACTGGCATTTTAATTCAATATTTTATTACACACACAAAAAAAATGAATACAAAACTCCTCAAAGCAAGTGCATACCAACACTCCTTTCACAACTGAGATTACTATAATGCTCTATTTTTTTTTTATTAAAAAGGTTACAAGTTAAAAATCACACATAAAGAAACTGAGCTATCCTATGCATTCATTCTCACTAATCATGATTTCTCTCTGGTGACTGAAATAACAGACCAGATTCTTCTCAGTGCTACTCAGTGAAGAGGCAACATGCACCAATTGAAATATAAGGAACTATTCCGCTTAAGCATAAGAGGGAAAAAACCCTACTTTTCTTCTTTACTATGCAAGTAATCAAATACTAAGCAGGTTGTTTAGAGAAACTGTAGAGTCTTCATCCTTGGAGATATTCAAACCAACATCAGTCCTGGGCAGCCTGCTGGGATGACAGAGCTCTGAGCAGGGCAGGCTGTGGTGCTGGATAACCTCCAGTGGTCCCTTCCAACCTCTGCAGTTCTGTGATGCCATATCTAAGTCAAACCTATCAAATCTAGATAACTGTTCTACTTTAACAGAAGGTGAACAAAGAGAGTGAAAGAAAACAGATCTGACAGGCTGAGTTTATTGACACTGAAACTCACACAGTAGGCAGGCATACATCAAACTGGATCCTTTTTTTCAGTCAGTGCCAGATTCTACAGGAGTTATCCTTGCTCCCTAGTAATAAACACACATTGTGAAGGATCATTTAGGTGCACAGTCTATCCATTTTTGTTAATACCTACATCAACAATGTACCCAGGAGACATATATATATTTTTTTCCTCAACAAATGGCAACAGGCAGCAGAATCAATCAAGGGCAATACTTTCAGCTGAGATCATCCTGCATCCCATGACAGAAATGAAGGAAACCTGATCAGAGGTCAGTACCAATTACACCAAAGGCATGCTCCTTTGCCTTTTGTTCATCCACACCTCCCTCACAGCAATGGATTGTGAGAAAAGGGCTTAGTCACTGCTCTCGTGCTGGTATGTGCCACTGGAGAGAGGGGAGGGCGTGCCCATGCCTTTGCACAAATTTGTTCATGGCCATATTCTCTTAAATCTCAGTTCTAAAGTGAAGATCTAGATTTTCTTGACTGTATTGTAAGTCAGCAGTGACTTAGAGCAGGTACCTGCATTGGGCTCCAGGAAAGTTTTCAGACTGTTTTTGTTTTGCCATAGCAAGATTTCAGATGTCTTAAAAATAAAAAAAAAAAAGGAAAGAAAAATAGAATATATTAGTTACCTGTAATGATTGTATCCCCTTTGTAGTTAAAAGCACAGGAGAAGATCTCATCAGCATGACCCTCTAATATCTGAAGGCAGTGCCCAGTAGCAGCATCCCAGAGCCGAGCTGTTTTATCAGAACTGGCTGTTAGTATGCAATTGCCTTTAGGGTTGAAACACACCTTTAAAAATACAGAAAAGAGTTCTGTTACTCAGCAAGTCAGTATGCCTAGAGAAAGAAGCATACCAAAGTGATTGAAAGATGAAAATAGAAAGCAGCAACTCTTGCATTCAGTTTTTTAGCTAAAATCAAGGGTAGTATTCCACTAGAGAGCATCTCCCTCTCTGCTCCCCTGCTCTTTACCAAGTGTGTGTGCAGACCCAATTGACAAACTGCTTCAGGAAAAGGAAAGAGCTAAGGAAAACCAGACATTTCACTGGCATCAAAGCCAGGTGTCCACCCCTTGGAGGGATGGACTTAAGTAGCTGCCACCATTCTAAGGAATCAAATGGTAATGACATGACAATATAGAGAAGTGGCTCTTGGAACCCCTAGGAGTAGCATACGCAGTATTGTCTAAGCTCAGAAGTGGGAAATTGGTCAAATCATTGTCTGATAGTTTCAGCCAAAAGGAATGTTCTTTCAGTAAAGATGACTTCTTAGCCAGACCTATCGATCTTAAAGAATGTGGTGGTATACTGATTAATAGTATTCCTGTAGTATGAAATAACTGGTGAATTGGATGTCACACAGAGTCAAATTAAAAAAGGTGCAAACCACACACAACTTACCTTTGAAATTTCATCTTCATGTCCTTCTAGCTTTGCAATGCACTGTTTTGTTCCTGCATTATAGACTCTTGCTGACCCTGTTGCAGTAGGAGCCATATGTGATTGTTATGCTTAAGCACCCATTTCAGTAAGAACATTTGAATAAGGTCAGAAGGAACTCATCCTCAGATTTAATTATGGAAGAAATACAAGGCAAACTTCATGGAGTTTTCTCCAAGGGTAAAGTATGTTCAAAAAAAATCTGTAATCTGTGTGAAAAAAATTGACTTCCTTTCCTGACCAAAAATGGATTCTCCTGAAAAATTCCTAACATACAAATACAAAGGTCCACATAGAACATAGCTTACTGAAGCCTGTTATTTCAGAATGCATGTACAATATATTTATAAAGCTTTCATTATATTTCACTATTTAATAATCTATTCATTATATTTAACAAGATATTGATTAAATATCAGGAAACTTTTTACATTGGCTCATGTCTTAATATAGCAAGTACAAGAAAATGGATCCAAATAGTCCTCCCCATCCAGCCTGGTATGCTGTTTCTGGAATTGTGTATCTAATACAGGATTGTCATTATGCAGTATAATATAAATAACTAAGCAGGTGAATATAGAAAACTATTTATTGTGATTCCTAGACAAATAATAAGCATGCAAGACTTCTGCATACCAATAACAAATCAAAATTGCTTCTTTCACTACCTCTTTATTGTGTATTCTTTTGCTGTGCATTAGAAAAGCCTGCCAGTAAATCCACCAATAAAATTCCAACTACATTTTTCATTTACGCCTAAATCTGAGCCACCAAATCAACCCCCTCAAAAGCTATTTACATACACATTTAAAATGTATTTCCAGCCACAAGTGAAATATTTCCTTCCAAGTTTGAAGTTAAATGGGAAAGACATGTTGATTGAAGTATGAAAATAAGGACTTTGTCACCGGAGAAAACTTTTAAAGTTTAATGCCCAATTTCTGTAATGCAACAAACATTGCTCGATCGATAGTTTTGAATCAAGTCCTCCTCTTCATCAAGCTACATCCAAAGCAGAGGCAAAGGGAAAGGACAGAGGTGTTTGATTGCAGTTCCCAGCAGAGGCAGGCCCCTCACTCACCATCGGCAGAGGCCGTTGCGATGCGCTGCCCGGCGTAGTCGAAGCACACATCCAGCACCTCCTTGCTGTGCCCTGCCAGCGTGGCTATGCGTGTCCCTGTCACAGCATTCCACAGCTGCACACACAAACAGGGGCACTGCATTGCTGCTTTGGACTAATTCACTTTATAGATACCTAGCTGATTGATAAAGCAACTTGTAGAGGCCCTTTCTGATGTTTGACATGTAAAACACAAAAGCTGAATACAAATCAATAACGAGTCATTCTTTCATTAGTTTAATGTTCTCTACATTTTTTAGTTCAGTGTATTGATTAAACAGACTTAACTAGACTTCACTGAAATTAGTAATATTATAGGTTTTACATTTAGTTGTAAATTCTCTAATTCATTACATGTACTACTTTAAAATGATGCTCCTCAATTTAGAAAAGATACATTTTATCTGTCAAGTAGCTGTATTCACTACCCACTCAAGGAGCTTACCATGCACGTTTTGTCCATTGATCCAGTGACAATGAGAGAACAGTCCCAGCTGAACTGGGCACTGCTAATCTCTCCTCGGTGGCCTATCAAAGTATGTAACAACCTACCAAAAAAAAAAAAAATTTAATGATCATTTACATTTATTGTGTGTATTTTTATATACACATATAAATTATAAGTTTAGAAAATGGCATGGTTAAGGCGTCACATCTTCACCATTAATGCAATTAAATGGAGTGGTGCAGCTCATTTAGGATTCTAGTACTACATCAATTCCGTTTTCTATTTTTGGCAAAAAGAGGCAGTAAAGAATAAAATGGAAATTTCCTCCCTTCTCTTTCAAAAATATTTTAGTGAATGTATCTCCAGTGATATGTGATGCTTTTCAGTACCAGCGACAGATTCCTTGTATTCATCTACATGCTAAGCAAGTACAGCAAGTTTTTCCACATTATTCTCCTATTATCCTACTTCAATGAACTGTAAAAACAGTACATCTTTAAAACTCCATATAATCTAAACCTTTTATAAAATCCACTGAAGATCAAATGAAAGTTAATCAGGTACTTAATGTGAGCATGTTCCCAAATAACAGGCAAATGACAGCCCAACTGAAATATGATTTCTAATCCTCATTAATCCTCAACTTCTTGCTGCACAAGACTAGCAATACAAGTCCCATTCAATTCTTCAGCTTTATCTGAGTAGAGAGGTTACAATTAGCCAATACTGCTTCCTATTTAATCCATCCTATTTAATGGCCTATAAGGCAACAAAGCCTAAAAAAGATTAATTGAGATATACATCTATTAATGGATTAGCAAACTGGGTTATTATCACAATGCTAGTATCACTGCATCATTAATAGAAGCAGACTGTAAATAACAGATAAACTAATGACTAGAAAAACAACTAAATTAGTTTAAGTGACTGAAATGTTTTTATTCATTGCACAAGATATGTAAGAGTAAGTAAATTAATGTATGCGCTAAATCAACAGTAAAGAAAATTTCCCGAGTATTTGAATTTGCTATTTGTTTATAATAACAAAAACTTGATTACATTCTTAGCATTTTGCACAATTACTCCTTTTACTTTCTAACACTGTGAGGTCTATTCTGTTGTAATTGTGTAGATTTTTTACAGTAAAACAAAAAATCAACAAGCAGACAACAGAGGAAAAGTTAATTTTATAAACATACTATTTGGTCATCAAGACTGCTGTTACTGTAATACCCAATGCCCAAAATACCTAGCAATACCTAGAAAAAAAGTTTTAATTTAAAAGCTGAAAGCTTAAACTTCCAATTTTCAAAAAGGCAGTGCGGCCTTCAAGCTTTGACATAAAAATCTGATCAATAAACATAATAAATAGCAATGTGGAGAACATCTTACAGAAGCTGTTATCAGATACAAAAAAAAAACACAGAGGAGAGACTTATGAAGTGCCATAAAAATTCCATTTAAGTTTTTTATTAAAAGCAATCAGCTTTAGTCATGACAGTATTTTCTTAGTCTTCAGTTTCCAAGTGAAATTTGATCTATGGATGCTCTAGTATTTGACTATAATTGCAAATGAGAAACTGCTTTTCTCTCACACGCTGGTGTCCAGCACTCCTGACCCAAGATACAGGACCAGGCTCTTGATTTACCAAATGAAGCTCTGCAGACACCTTCAACTGAACTACAATGGAAATGTATCTGCCATGGAAATAAAGACCTGGATTACAAAAGTGTAATCCAATGTGTTCCCCCTTCACCCTTTTGTTCTTTTAAATCATAGTATTTTATGAAGAAAATCTCAAACTCTGTTCAACTCTCCTATCCCTACATCAATTTCCCCCAGGGCAGTTCAGGGCACCTACACAGAATAAAACTCAGGAACACATGTGCTCAGCAGCATCAGCCAGCAAAATCAGAAGAAACTCAAATTTGGAAAGCTGTACACCTCATGGAATTCACATCTTGAAAAACAAGCACACAAAACCTCACCTACAAGATTTTTGCAAATGTACCTGAACCTGTTGACAGTAAATTATGACTTGCTGACAGTCTTTCTGACTGCAACTTTCCATTACTCCTAAATGTTTTCATGCCCAGGTGCCATCTGAAAGGCTGACTGCTGGCCTTGGAACAATTCTATTCCCCACTAGCTAATCACCAGAACTGCCAGTGAGAATCTGCTGGTAATGGTCCTGATGTGAAGTTCATATTGATTTCATAGAAAAAAAATGCAACATGAAAATCCCCACACTCTGACTTCACTGTAGGCTCAGACAATAAGCTGGAAAAGGTTGTTTTCACAAAAAATACTTGCAAGAACAGCAGGCTGAATGAAGTTGAATTCAAAGGTCGATTTGCTGAATGAGTGTTGGTGTTGAATAAGCTCAAAGATTATGGGATCAAGCTTTAAATGACACACTATGTGTACATTACTTATAAATCACACACTTAGTCTCACTTTTATATATATTGTCTACTATCCCAAGATATCACTATACAAACACTTTCCTTTTATATATAAATTTCAGAGATATTCCCCTTGCTCTCAAAAGAAAAAAAAAAAAAGGCACAACCCCTGAAAACAAAATAGAATGGTTATCTTCATAAATTACTTTGTCAGTAATCAGGGTGATCATATTATTTTACTTACACTGAGTTTCCCACTGACAAAACAAGTGAATTTGTCAGCATTATACAAGCTAATATTTACCTGTTGCATTATTATTTGTTGGCATCTTAATCAAGAGATTTTGCTCTCTACAGTCAAAGGAGAACACATTTTAAATTTATATTGACAAAGGATAGTGAGAAGGAAAAATACACCCTCTATAGTTTTTAAAGATAACATAACCAGAATAATTTTCTATAACACCAAATATACTTTCTACTTAAACATTCTAGAAATCCTAGACACCTTGCAAGTCATGAGTTTCCATGTTGACAAAATATATTCCTCTTTGGAGAATTCACCAGGAACAAGCACAGAATCAGTCCAGTCTTTCTGCCTCTTTAGTACTCATAAGATAGAAATTTAAAACAAAGAATACATACAAAAGCATTTCATGAGCAGCATTGCTTTTCAGAAGAACAAAGAGAACAGGAGTAACAAATTACAAGACCAAAGAACATATACTCTAAATGAAATACAAGCTCTGTAAGGTGTAGCTCAACATTTTCTACTTAATTTGTCTTGAAGTCATGCAAAGTAAAATTATATTTATTAGTGCTTTAGTACCTGCCAGTGCCAACATCCCATACTGCTACTGTATGGTCAAAGGAGCCAGTGATGATCCTGTCTCCAGTGGTATTGAAAGACAGAGCAATAATTTCTGCTGAGTGCCCCTGAGAGAATTTTTAAAAAGGAGTATGAGAATACAAATTATTACATTTCCATTAATATAGTTTAATATGTAGTCTTTTTTTCAGCAGCATAATCTTTTCATAACTCATCATTATTTTATTTACTGATTCATCCAGTATACCACAATTTTGACATAAAGATCTACCTGACTGTGCAATAGTCAATATCCCAACAACTGCAACAACTCAGGCACACCACTTAGGCAGGAAGCTTATTCACTATATATTACTTAGGATTTATGTGAGAGAAATGCATTGCAGCAGCAGAGGCCAATCTGACCCTGGGGAATGCCAGCAAGCCATGCAGAGCAAAGAGGGATGACAATCTAGAGGTAACTGGATGGCTGTCCTCTGTCCATGTTTACCTCCTCCATACAGAGGAGGTCACCACTGACAGTAGAGCAGCAGGTTTTAACAAGTAATGGAAGAGATTCTAATCTATAGCAGTGATGTCACTGCAATGAGAAAATCTGTCTTTTGATAAACAGGACTCAAAAAACACCACAGCTTTCTCATTCCCTTCAAGTTTTCTTATTCTGTTTTGGAATTGTAGTCACTATGGGATCACGCGGTAAAAGAAACTGCAAGGTTTGAAACAGTTGTAATGGTTACACTGTTATTTGTCTCAGCTGGAAAACTAAGCAAGGAATACCTCTGAAAACATAAGGAATGCAAACATACACTTAAAGTGGCTACTTCTTCTCCTTTCTCTAGATCCCATAATTTGGCAGTGGTATCCATGCTTCCAGTTGCCAAGAGTGTGCTCTGAGGATTAAATGATAAACATACCTGTAGCGAGAAACATTGGATAGAAAAAGTTTAAAGTTCATTTATATATGTTTTCTAAATAAACTAAACAAGGGTCAGGATTAATATTTTTAAATAAGACAAAGGTCTGATAATATTTTATGACATACAGAAAACTTGCAGAATTCTTCCAACCACTCACTAGAACACCAACAAAACCTTACCACATAATTCTGGATAAGTACTGAAACTAAGTGGACCCCTTGCAAGTACATGCTTTGTTTTCTTTATTTCAAAATTCTCACTGAAATCCTCCAATTACTGTTCAGTCTGACAGTGCTCGCTAGCCCTATCATTTGGTAGATTTTCTGTTACTTGATGAGACTGGGGCAAAGATCTTCCAAACAGTTCTGTGTACCCACAAACACACTCTGTGCACTTTTACCCTATCAGGTGTCATTATCAATGCCATTTGCCAAGGGTATTGCCACAACATCATATTTAAGGAAAAGAAAGAATAAAAGCTCAACAACTGCTTTAATTAATTTCTCACATTAAAAGATCATGTATTCATCCTCCCATTTTCTGTAATTATTTGGTATGATTGCTCTGCAAATAAAGAATAGCAGGTGCAATGAAAAGAGGAAAATAGCAGCTCAATTTTTTCATCCTGAGTAACTATGGGCATGCCCTTGCCAGCAGTGTATCAGATGCAATAATGGCCTTTCAGAAACAGGTCGGATTCAGAGAAACACATCATTTCCTGCTGGCAATTACCTCCTTCTAATTACTTGTCAGCACAACTCATAACACTCTGGGTCTAATCTAACCCCTAAGAAGTCAGAAAAAATGGAGAGGCCTTTAAACATTTACCTGACTGATTTGTGGAAGTAAAACCACTGCAGCTCTTCTCAATAAGCAAATATGTTCTCCATTGTAAGGAGTAACTCAGAGCATCCAGAGAATCAAAAACACACTGAAACAAACCCCAAATCCCAATATAGTAAACCACCATTTTCTCAACTCTTTCTAGTTAGGGCCTCTCAATCTACAATTAAATTCAAATTGTTTTTTCAGAAACAATTTTCAGCAATATTTCATTGAACAGTGATTATATAGCTATTAAAAAAACCCCCAAAAAACAAAAAACAAACAAACAAAAAAAAATTTCATCACTGAAATTCAGAGTTTTAGTGGTTTTGCCCTGATCTTTCAAACTGCAATTTGTGCATCAAGGCACCTGCTGCTGCTGATAGAGGTCCTAGTGCATGGGAGAGGAAACCAAGCATTTTTAATCTTGAACTGTTTTAATTTCATAGATCTTTGACATTTCAGCATCCCACATACTCCCAGTTAACCCACTTTAAATTTCAGAAATTCCTTCCCTTACAGCTCCAATTGGTTCTGTACACAAAGTACAGATTTCTGTGAAAGACAACAACACAAGCAATGATGTTCTTGTATAATTTAGTTCTGCAAATATGGGAGGAAATGCAAGATAGCTAGAAAAACATGTGATACATAATCAAACAAAAAGTATGTACAATAAAGTGAAAATTCCCGTTGCTATGGTATTTTTCAATGTTTTAACATTTAGCAAACAAGGGAAATCAGAACAAAGTTAAAACAACAATATAATTTCAAACTGTGGATGAGGGTTTATTCTGTCTCAAGAACTGTCAGACTATCCTCCCTTGCAGTGCAGCAATGTTAACAAAACCTGGATGTGTGAACAGATGTGCCACAATAACTGTGCCTTCCAGTGGGAGCTCACAGGGAGTCAGAACCCACAGTCATCAACGACAGTGTGAAGAAATATAAAGGAATAAGAAACATCCATCACGACTCACTATTTCTGCACTATGTCCTCTGAAGGTATGACAACATTTTCCTGTTTCTGTACTCCACACTTTGCAGGTTTTATCAAAAGATCCAGTGGCAATCTTGTCACTAAATAGAAAAAAAATAATCCTATAATTTTTATGTAGAAAAACCTTCTGACTCCAGAGACAGCAGAATCCAGAGAAACAACACCCAGCCTTGGAAGCTCCAATGCACTTTGGTGCTCACTGCCACACTACAAGATCCTGCAGCAGGATTTCACAAACACAAGTTACAGCAAGGCAAAAAATTAGCAGACACAGGGAGTTTGTAAGAGAGCTACTGCATCTATCTATTAGCACAGGAGTGTTCATAACTGATGACTGACCTGCTTTAGGGATGATGTTGTGCTCTACCTACAGATTTATTAAGAAGTTATATAATTTCATCAAATTACATCTGTTTACCAACAATTATAAATGCAGTTCACCCAAATTTCAGAAGTTGAACTCTACTCCCACTAAAGTCAGTGGAAGTGTTGTGACCATCTGCAGTTAGAGCAAGACTAAAGTGAAGTCTCCAGAAAATGTACCAAGGGGCACTGTACTAAAACCTGAAGATTAACAGAAAAAAAGGGGGTCTTATCAAATTTTTAATACAAAAGTAGTTCAAAGTTCTCATCAGGTTTTGTCTCGCTGTATGTTGCTTCTCCACTTTCATGTTACAGTCTAGTTATTGATCTTTGCCCAGATTTTTGTCATTAGTTTCACCAAGCCATATAAATGAACTTCATTTAAAGCTTTTATAAAGTAAAGAATAATATCAGAATATAAGACATTGACACAAAAGGGTCTAATCTTTCCTTTTCATATAGAAAAAAGAGATTAAGTTTCAAATAGTGTAAGAACAAATCTTTTAACATCTGATGGTAATTGTGTATTTTTCAATGGATAAATAGGACATCCAACAATAATGTGATTCAATAGAAAAATAGGAATTAATTTATCTTTACAGAAAAAATGGTTTTCTCACACACGACAGCTTCCTCAGGAAGCAAATGACAATGAAACTTCAGCAGCTAACATATAATTCCCTTCACCTAACAGGTGGCAATTCCAACCTAGGGCAAAAACTTACTGAAGAAAACAAAATGTGCAAAAATTAATATCTGATGTTCACACAGCAGCACCTTGTGGATTTTACAAAAATTACTCAAAAGCTGTGACATTTCTAAATCATGTCCTAAATAATATTGAATTTGTAATGGCAAATGGACAAATCCACTTTCTCCTTAACTGGAGCAACACAGATTGACATAAGTACTTACATGTCACATCACATACAACTATATGGAGGCAGAAGAGAATGATTAACATTCAGAATACAATATGGTCATGTAGATATTACTGAAATAAACTGTGTTTCAATACACTCAACTAACTCATTTAGACTGAATACTCATTTAGACTCAGACTGAATACCTAATTAAATTTTTGGATAGAATTTCTAAATTTAATTTTACAAAATGATAGCAGAAAACATGTTTGAATGGATCTCTTGTACAAATAATGACAGTGTCATCCTACAGTGATTAGCTATAGCTGAACTCTACAAACTCAGAAGTTGAACTCTTTCAATTTAAAATAGTCTATTCTTTGTTAGAGTATTTGTAAAATAACAGTATTAGTAATTACGAAGAATCTCAGAGGAAATGTATTTACCCATAGGGGTTATTGAAAGCTATTGCATAGACAACATTTCTGTGTCCCTCCAGCGAAAGCAGCTCTTCTCCTGATGCTGTATCCCACAGTTTGCAGGTTCTGTCATAGCTTCCAGTGATAAAGCTAAAGCAAAGAGAAATTTATTTCTGAATACAGCAAATATCTTACTGGTCCCAATGCACTGAAATTATTTATTTTCACAGATTTTAATTAGCATTGTCTCAGACCCTAAATCTGTATTCAAAAATACAGATTTATGACCACAGAGGTTCCTTTTCTTCTTTCTTTTTAACATCTTAGTCATAAAAACACATTTTTTTCTGATCTTTAATGTATTTTAACTAGAAAGCATGCTGTTGCTTTTAAGACATGAAGGAAAAAATGATAAGACAAATGTCCACAGTGAAATCAATTAACATGAAAGTTACACTTTCACTACAGTGAAACTCCCAAATGAGTTTATGTCAAAGACTCATTTAGCTTTTTGCAATATTTAGTTAATGGCCATAAAGGTGCTTCTTTCTGTAATATGGTAATTGTCAATGGACTATGACTGTGGAAGAAAAAAATTACATAAATTGAATCTCACCTGCTACTTTTTTGCATCTCCCATGGGTTTTCCACAGAGGCCTGAAATATAATCCCCAATTATGCCTGAAGCTGCTTTTAAGCAGCAAAGCTGAATTCTTTCTGCAGCAAGATAAGAGTACTGAAGTTTCCTTACCATTTAATTTACAAGTACAAAACTTCAATTAATGATTAGGTACTTTGACTTTGAAAACAACTTACCGGGAACCAGATTTGTTAAATGCGACATTAGTCAGAGGCAGTATGTGTGTTCTAAGCACCTGAAATAGAATTGGGGGCAGTGAGAAGTAAAACATTTGAAGCTAAAAAAATAAACAAAATTGCTCAAAATATTCAACAGATTAATTTTTTCTCGTCCTCCTGTTAGAGGAGAAGAAATCCCACATTAATCATCAGGTTACCACTGAAGATGCTATATAGTATAGATTTCAATTTTATCTTTTATTTCAATGAACTGGTTGTTTTCCCATGTTTGCATTTTCTTCATCTTCTCCAAGGCCAGCAAAACAGCCCTAGACCAGAGCTAAATGGGCAAAACAAAAGAGGAGACCATGATTACTGTAAGATCACTGATAAAAGAAATCCCAACTAAAATTAAGCCTTAGCCAGTGAACCAAGAAATCCAGTTAAATTTGAGACTTTTAGGGTGTGGGATGCTTCCAGCTGGCACTTGACTTTGTTGTACAAAACAGGAAGAAAAAAATAAATATAAGCTACAGTTTATAAGAAATATAAGTTACAGCTCTGTCCTATGAGGTCATGACAAAGTGTGCAAAACCATAACAAAGATACTCAGCAAGAAAAAATTCCAAGATGGAATTTCAACTTTAATGTCTGCACAGATTGTGCAGGGCACTGTTTTCTAACAGTGCTTTAATCAGACGCTACAGGATAATTCATGTGAATGAGCCCATGGCCATAGTAACACATACTAAGGTTTATTAAGCAGAGGTGAAAATAGTTTCAGATACTGCAATGGAAGTCACCATACCATGATATTTTAAAAAGAAACAAAAAAATATAATCTGGTTAGTGTATGAATAAACTGGCTGCTGTAAAACATGGTTTGCACTTGAATAATTTTCACCTGTTAGAAGCTGCCCTCTCCTCAAGTCTAAACCATAACAAAATCATGAAGTGGGAAATCACCACAACTGCTGACAGTGAAGTAAAGGGAAGTTAAAAATACCCCAGTGGTTCACCAGGTCTTTTCTGCAGTGTAAGAATGAAGAAGAAACTGTTTATGAACAGTGAGATTTAATCACTGACATATTACCAGAGCTTCAACTTTTTTTGCTTATCTCAAGTTTTCCAAGCTGCCTGTCTCCAAAAGGAAAATGAGAAAGGCTCACAGATCTTCTACTCAGAAGAGTAGGGATTCATCAAAATGGAAATAACAGTTGATAAGTAAAGGATGAGAGGGAGAGAGAAACAGAAAATGTATTTTATGTTACAGAAACAGCAATTTCTGCTCTCTTGAGAAAGCAACACAAGTTGTACATTCAGCTACTGAAGTGGGAATGGGCAATCAAGATGTGGAAATGACAAAAATATTTTGTTTTTTAAAAAGAGCCACAATATCCGTCTGCATATGAGAATCAATAATTATGGAAATTTATGGAAATCTCACCCATAACATTTTTAGAACTACATACAGGCAGCTCTGAGCAACAAAGGTATTTTGAAATTATGAAGAAAGGGAGGAAAACGAGATGGGTTTTTGTGTAATTTCAGATTATGAGACTAATTCTGTTCTTCCAATGCCCAGTGCTGCAGTTGCTTCATCCACAGAACTCTGAGCCAGCAAGAATTGCCTGTGCAAATGATACAATAATCAAACCCTAAGGCAATATTAGAAAAAATATACCTCAGCTCTGCCAAATCTGCTACAACTGTACCTAACATAAAAATCTGCAAATTACTATAGCATCCCTTGCCTTGGAATAGTTTAAAACCTGAGAAACTGCTATAGTACCTCGTTTCTCTGCAGGGTGCCTAACACGCCACCATCACTACAATTACTGTAAATAACAAAAAGATGAGCTTATACACTTGCTTCAGTTTATTCTCCAGTGCAACAGGAATAAAAACCATTCATTTGCAAACAATGCACACATGAAACATTTTTTTCAGGGAAAAGAAAAACAAATCTCACTCCCACCCATCTCTTATATTTTATTAGTATCTCTGAAGGACCTGGTACTCATATTTCATTTAGAAGACTTAAATGAAACTGAACATCACAAAAGTTCTTTTCACACACTTCTAACCACTCTTGAGTGAAGGAAATAATCCAGCACTGATTGGATTTGCCTGCTTCTATTATTTCCAAATACAGAAGCTCAGACACAGCACTACACCCAACAATGAACAACTACATTATTTACACTCAAGTTTGAACAAGCATTTGAAGATTTGTCAGTCTCTGTGATGAACAAACAATTTCTATAGCTTTTGAAAAGCAAGGCATTATCTCAGTTGAGAGCATAACTTGGAAGAGAAACTTTTTAAATTTAAGATGCCCTGCTACATAGCTCTGTTTTCAAGGTTAAAAACATATTTCTTTGCAGAATTCACCGAGATGAGTATTGTTGGTCAAAAGAATCAAAGCTATACCTCGGAACATGTAAGGGATTTTATAGCTGAACAAACCAACACAAACCTTTTTCTAATTTAAGGTAACAATAAACGCCATAGCACTGACCAACATTGTTTAACAGCTACACATTGCCATCTGCTGACGCAATAAAGATACAACGTTTAACTATGTCAGATTCTTTCAGGAAGAAAGTTTCATTTCCACAATTAAATACAATTAAACCTATTCTCTTCTGACACACTCAATCCTGGATTTGAAGCTATGAAAGGTCTCTGTAATCATTGTTCTTAAAAATCCTATTTGTTTGAAAAAATATTCAAGTGCTCTCTGTAAGCTGAAAATCAATTTATCAATATTCAAAGATAATAGTAATGACAGAAAGCAATGAAAACCAAGATTTGTAATGACAACTGCACGTAGCATAAAACCCCACAAAATAACAGCATAAATCCCACAATTTTCAAAAAATGAAGAACAAGTAGACGCATGTATGAAAATATTTTGGTCCTTTCCCAACAGCTAATTTACGTGGGGTCAATTTACAAGCTTTGTTTAAATGTAACTATGGGTGTTGCTGGCCCACAAACTCTTTCTCAACAAATAAAAGATTGATTTCTCTCCATCCAAAACACACCCTAGTGATTAAGCCTGGGAAAACAATATCTAGGAACAGTTATACCTCTCAGCTTTATTGGGGGAATTCCTGGCAGGAAAATCAGGCCAGACTGAGTTGCTCTGAAAGTGCAGAGAGGATTGAAAAGTGCCAAGGAATCAGTCATACAGCACAATACACAGCAGTAAAAATATACTCACAGTATCACAACTTAAACCCCCCCAAATGCCCAAAATTATTTTAAAGATGCCTCTGACCTTAAAAAGAGAGAATTTGTGATTCTGTTTTTCCCCTAGCTTCTCCTGCAATCTTTGCACTAGATGTATGACATGTTCCAAGCAGGAAGCTGTGATGAGAGGTTCTCTTTTTTGGATTTCTTCTACTAAGGCTGTAACATCTGTGCTAATTATGAGAAAAGAATGAAAACAAACTCAATAAATACCCCAAACCCACCACATTCCATCCTCTGGAAATAATTATTAATTTAAACCAAAGAATATTATTTACTTGTAAAGAAACTGAAGTAAGCAATTAAGTGTTATGCATTTATCTCATTCTGTAAAGGTATAAAGAAATAAGGAGAAATCTTTCTTGGTTTTTATATCTCCTTCCCTCTCTTACTGAAGTTGTACAGTCAAATTCAAATTTTAAAAATTGTAGCTTGGAAGAAATTTATCTTTTGGAACAATTTCCATGGAGGATCAGGCATGGGAGATGTGTGTCCCAAACTGTCAGTTTAAATATCTGAATTATACTGGAATTTCATAAATTCCAAACAAATTGCCAATGAAGCAGTAACAAGACAAATTATGTATACAAAGTCTTAAATTTATCTCTGTCTGTGGCTTCAGAAATCTATGGCTGCTTCTACAACACTTAGTTTTGACAGGAACTACCACATGGTGCCATGTTCTGATGTCCCTGGAGCCCCAGCGAGGGGGCCACACCTGGTCTGTGCAACTGGATCCTCTTTCCATTTCATCAGATAACTACTGATTTCTGGCTTTCTCTGAGAAACTAAGGGTTGACAATACCCAGCAGTCAAATCACAATACACTCTGAAAATCAGCTTAGCAAGAAAGCCAAGTATTTCTGTTAGTATGGGAATTATTCAAGTCTAAGGGGATTTTCTTTTCAGTCTTCTAAGTGGGAGCCACTACATCATAAAAGAGTATCCTCTCAGTGTTCACACTCCTGTTCAGTAACAGCAGACAACTTATTTCTTTCACAAAAAGACCTGACAGGTTTTGCCCACAGCACCATACCGGACAGTCCTAAGCAGACAAAACTTAATAATTTTTAAATTGGGATTTTTCATCTTGCATATCCAGCTTACACTGCCCACTGACTTGGGCTTACATGCAAGGCCTCTTCCATATCAATGCTGCTATTAAGACAATCATACTACTTCATGTCTTTCAACCTCATAAACTCCATGGATTTGGGTAACTATTTAATGGTGGCACTTTATTATTTTTCTGAAGCCCTTCCTAGCTGAGCTGGCTGAGTAGAGCACATAGGCTCTACCTAATAGCCAATCTCAATTATGTGTAACACAGTCAAATGGAGTTGTACATGAATGTGCTATATGAACATAGAGTGCTGTTATCTGAAGCAATACCATACTTACTCAGGTCTAAGATCAAGCAGATCTATTGATCTGGTCTTTGACTCACCACCTTCTACATATTCCAAAATAATTCCTTTAAAAACAAGTGATAAACAGGTCATAATTAGACTTCTGGAGTTTTATAACATCCACTGTAAACAGCAGCACTCACACTTTCATAGTTCCATTGACTTCAGGAGACCCAATTCCAGTTCTTGGAGCTGGAAGGAGGCTGGCTGTCATGGCTGAGAGTAAGCATGATGATGAACAACTCTGATATGCTTATATGAAAAAAGATATTAAATAATATTATTTCTGAGCTATTTTCTATTCTAGAAATAAATATTTTCTTTTTTTCCAATAACTTTTTGTATCATTTCATCAGCATTAATTTTAAAGAAGCTGTCCTGAAGATACTTGCTGTAGTTTGGTGTTCCAAGAAGCCTGGAAAACATGTTTTACAAAACCCATTATACTTATTCTAGTGTTTGCAAAGGCTTGAGTGCAGTAATGTACCAAAAATCATTAAACACTTTACATTCTCAGGTTTGCTTTGGCACCTCTGCAACTTCCACTGAACTGGAGTATTAAAATGTTTAACCACATGGCTTCCTGTTTTGAAACAGCTGATAAAGGGCTCAGCTGCTCCTTGACTTTCTGTGGGAAAAGATAATTTACATGAACTTCTGTGTCATTCTGCATTTCACAAAGTTCACAGGAAAAGTCACACTTCTGTGACTACACTGTCACAAGCCTCTTCCATTTCTTTATGTGTTGGCACTGCAATAAGTAAACCATCCATGTAACGTATGATTATTGCTTGTGGATATTTCTGTCAAGCTGGAGACAAAGCCCACGACACAAACCACTGGCAGATAGTAGGTGAGTTTTTGAATGTGAAAAGATCCTTTTTTCCAATACAATTCCTGAGCTGGCCATCTCCAGCTTGTTTCACTTCTGAAAATTCACTGAGTCACCTGAGTACAGGATACACCATGCCAATTTGGCAGCATTGCTTTTCAAAGCATGGCTCCACTCAGAAAACTCATAAATGAAGGACAAAAAAAGGAATTAGTATCAGCTAGGCTGGAAAAGGCCTCTGAGATCAAGTCCAACCCATAACCAAACACCACCTTGTTAACCAAACCCTGGCACTGAGTGCCAGTCCTTAAACACCCCAGCGATGGTGACTGCACCCCCTCTCTGGGCAGCCGTTTCTAATGTCTGATCACTGTTTCTGTGAAGAATTTCTTCTTAATATCCAATTTAAACCTCCCTTGGCACAGCTAAAGACTACGTCCTCTCATCCTTTCACTGGCTGCCTGGCAGAAGAGACTGACCCTCAGCTGGTTCCAAACTCCTTTCAGGTAGCTGTAGAGAGTGGCAACTTTTTTTGCTTAACAGCCATTTAAAAACTTTTTTTTTTTTTTTTTTTTTTTTTTTTTTTTTTTTTTTTTTTCCCCCCCCCCCAAAACCTCCCCTTTCTCCTNAATTTTTTTTTTTTTTTTTTTTTTTTTTTTTTTTTTTTCCGCGCCAGCTCAACAGTCACCGTTGACTCCTTACTGTGATGCGAGTAAGAGTGCCTTGACTTTGGAGGAAGTCACTAATGACACCCCCGATGGGTGTTGAGCCGCTCCCCGCTGCAGCCCCTCAGCCCGGCACCGGGACAAAGGGCGGCACCTCCGCTGCGCCCGGCTGCGGGTGCGCCACGGGCCCGCCCGGCCCCTGCCGGGCTGAGGGCACCCGCCGTGACGGGCGGTCCGAACACGCCGCAGGGCCCCGCCGCACGCCCCATGCCCCCCGTCCCGGTACAGCCGTCGGCAGCACCCGGAGCCCCCCGGCCCCGCTCCGCACCCGGCGGGAAGTAGCGCAGCAGGAGCCGCCTCAGCGCCATCGCCGCCACCGCCGCCCCGGCCCGCGCGTCCGCCCGCAGCCATGGCAACGGCCCGGGGCGCATGCGCGGCTCCGGCGCGGGGCTGAGGCGCCGGGCCCGCCATGGCGGGGCGCCGGCAGCGTCGCTGTGGCTGTGCAGCCGGGTCGGTGCTACCGGCCCGGGGCTGGCGCTTGGCACTGTATCATCCTACAGAGCTGCCCGGGCTTCTGGGCTGCGCCACTGAGAGGAAGGGAGCGGATCTAGAAAGGAGTGCGCTAAAAAACACATATAAAATTCGGAGTGCCAAAGAGCCGCTAGTAATGGCGTAGCAAAGGCGTGAAAGCTTTTTGGAAAGTGAATAGTTACTTGCTAAGAAAAGAGGGCAATGATTAATTAAATTAAAAAAAAACTAATTAGTTTCGTTTTTTTTAAAAGAGATAATGAGGACAGAAGCGCAACTATGAAAGTACAGTTTAGAATCACAGGAGCATTAAGGCTGGAAAGACCTTACAAAAGAGACCGACCATTAACCGTGCACCAGCACGTGCACCACTAACCCGTGTACCCAAGGGCCACACGCCTGCAGAACGCTGCCAGGAATGCTGATCCACCAATTCCCTGAGCAGCTCTTAACATCCAATCTAAACTTGAGGCCATTTCCCCTCATCCTGTCACCTGTTACCCGGGAGAAGAGACCCACCCGGTCTCACTCCTTGCAGGGAGCTGGGGCAGTGATGGTGTGCCCCCCTGACTCCTTCTCCCCAGCTCCCTGCGTCACTTTCACTGCCTTTCTTTGGATGTGCATTTCATCACAAAGAGAAGAAAACATGTAATTGACAAGAGATGACCAACATGGAACCATGAGAAGATAACAGCATTAATAGCATGGAAAATTTGTGTCAAGCTGTATGTTGAAATGGCTGTAGAACATCAATTGGGGGAAGCAGTAAACACATCCTCATTTGGCTGATCTCGTAGCCCACATTGTTGACAATGGATCAATACAAGACAGTCCCACTTGGTGTTTAACAATACGTGACTTTTTCCAAAAACACCCATATGGCTCCCTACAGCTTCACTTTGAAGACAGTCCTTTGATTTTTTGAAAGCCAGGAAATAAAATACAATGGCCAATTCCAGACTTACTTCAGGACATGGCTGGGGGACAAAGTGGTCTCTGAGTTTTTCATTCCCATTTGTTTGTTTTAAGTCTTTTATCTTGTTTGTGTGTGGAAAGTCTTGAGGCAGATAAGAAATATTTTTATTGAAAACAATCCGAACAGCTTTCCGACTGAATTTACTTACTTGGACCAACCCTATTCAAAAATAACTTTTTGAACAACCCCAAATCTTGGTGGTCTCCAATTTCTTAACAACTTTTTGTATTTGTTTAGCATAATATTTATTCACCCAGATTATAAATTCAGAATATAAATATTTTTCTGTTCTTCTAACTTAAATGACGTGAACAAACAACTGTGGCAAGGACACTGCTTCTTACCTTAAAACATAATTTGTTCATCATAAACACAGATTCATGCAGCCTTTCTGGTACCTTCAACTTAACACCAACTGGAAGTACTACATTTAGTTGTTTTAGTCATATTTAAACAAAACAGTCAAAACAGGGGAGGGAAGTGGAAGGACTGCAAAGCTCCATGATGCCGGTATCTGTTGATCAGTACGTTTTCCCCTCACTTTCTTACTCCAAATCTTCATCTGAACACAGACACCTCACAGTTTGTCCTTTCCTGTTATTAGGATGCAATAATGACACAAGATGATAAATCAGGCCTCAGCTGTCACCTCTTTCTTTGCTTCTGTAAGCATAAGATAAGGGAGCAGTGGAGTCACGGCAGAAGTCAATCCCTCTGAGCCCTGTGCCTGCTCTCCAGGCTGACCCAGAGAGGCGCTGATGTGATGGCCTTGTTTGCTCCACTCCTGTACAGTCACTAGAAAACACTGCTGACCAGCTGAGTGGGGACAAAGAGCTCACTCTGTGCCGAGACAAAGCTTTTCCCACAGTGCTACCCAGGATGGGCCTGGGTGAAAATACATGCACAATGACCACAGTGTGTCCTTCAGACAAAACAGAACCAGAGCTGTAGCACCGGTGGGATTACCTGAGGAGTCTTCAGGCAAAAAGGGGAAAACTGTGGGGAAGGAGTGAATGGAAGGACTTGCTATTTCATTTTTATTGAAGACTAGATAAGAGGGATTCTGATGATACAGCAGACTAAGCTCCTGTCCATGCCATTAAACCTTGACTGTTAAAAAGAAATGCAACTTTGCTTCAAGTTCGTGGAAAGAAGCAACTAGTGCATACTTTTAGAAGGAATATTTTCAGGCTGCTGGGGCAAAATTGCTGCCCTGCTATTTTTCAGTGTCTAAAGAGTGCACACAACCTCTGAGTCATGAAAGACTGACTTCAAAGAATGCACCATGTAGGGAGTTCAAAAATGTCTACACTGGAAGTAAAAATTAAATGCTGAGACATACATCTTTTATGCACAGAGATCAAAAATATTGATGATATCAGCCTGGAAAGATAATTTATAGAGCAGTTGCTCCCTGTGCATTTTTGCTTATGTCAGCAGCTTCCAGGAGAGGCAGAAAGTTGAGATGGTATAAAACTCATTGGTCTGTATTCAAGAGGCTTTGAAAGGCTTCAGTGTAGATTATCTACAGTGCTGAAGGGAACTCTATCAGACAATGTGAAGCAAAATCAGTGCAGTTACAACGAAGAACCTCCTTTAGAGAACCTTGGGTTCTTCCTGCCAACACAGGTTCTCAAAAATCCACTCTTGAGCCAATGTACCATCCTAAGGATAAGGTGAAAGTGTTTCTGACTCAAACACAATTGCTTGCAGAGAAGAGTGGGGTTTAAGCTTTCTGGTTTAAAGTTGCATCATGACCCACTTGTTCTGAAGTAGGTCAGCCTGTGGTGTGCTGAACTCAGTCAGAAAGGCCTGCCCAAGAGTAGTCTGAGCTGAGGGAAAGATGTAGAAAGCCACTTCCTATGTCTGTTATGCCAGCAGTGGGTGAAGTGAATTTTTACTAAGGGGAGTTTTTGTGTGCTGTCCTTTCTCATCATTTTCAGGTCTGTAGAATGCAGAAGAACAGTTCTCTGATAGTTGCTTGTTTCTGCTTGGTGAATTAAACAGATTTACATATTTTTTTCCCAAGGTTGTTTTATTCTGCTTCCTGTTACCCAAACAGACTTAGTGCATTGCTAAAGCTCCTTCTCACTTCTGCTCTGTTATTTCCAGTGCTAATCATGACACCACAGCCATGAAAATGTTAAAACTATTACTTATATAAGGGACTTTATGTTCTGGGAATTTTCCCTTTGCTAAGTAAGAGCTGTTCCAGGAGAAGGAAGTGACAGTGCATTGCAGAACAGTGTTCTCTTTCCCAAGGATTGTTTATCCTCTTTGCATGGCTGTTTTCATTAATTTAAAAATCTAAAATTTAAAAAAAAAATTGCTGGTTGTAATTTGCCAAGAAGGTGTGTCACCCACAAATTTCTGTTCAGACGAATAGTTGCTTGTAATGTTCACCTACAGTGAGATAATAACAAGTAGCAGAAAGGAACAGTAGTTCTCTTCCTTATCTTCCATTTTCCATCTCTGACAAACTGCTTGCATATCCCATGCAGTCAGGGAATTCCATACATCCTTACTTACTTCAGTCAAATTTTCACTCAACTGAAACAAATTTTTCCTTCCTGTCCACTTTTTATGACTTTCCTCTTAACCTTGCCAAGTTTATGAGTTGACTTGACAACAAAAAAATCCTCAGTACAAAAACCCCAATGAGATATATTTATCTTACCGCTTCTGAGAAGGACTCAGAGATGCCTTTAATCTTTCTTTCCATGGCCCATGGGAGCTGAAGACCTTTAGCCTGGGCTCTGCATCGTCCCATCAAGACGGCGAAGCTGACGGTGTTGGGTAATAACGCAAGTGTTCTGCGGTCAGTTGTTTCCAGATGCACCCAGTGAGGAACAGAGAGGAGCTCTTCTACATATACATAATGCACAATTGGGTCAAACCATGAGTCAGGAGGCAGCAAAAGCTCCTGACAAATAACAAGATTTCTAGTAAGTCTACAATAGAACTGGAAAATATAAGTAGTAAAAGCCACTTTGTTTTAGAAAACACGACTTTGCAGAAGTAGAAGTGTGTTCATCTCACCATTGTTTGTAATAATTTTTTTTTTAAAAAGCCAAAATAACTAACTTGTGATTTCATATTTATTATCTATAATTCTGAAATTTATTAAGCATTTCACTTAAGCAGTTCTTTTTTCTATATCTGTTTCAAGGCCAGGTTGGTTGGGATTGGATGGGTCCTTAAGCAACCTGGTCTAGTGGAAGGTGTCCCTGCCCATGTCAGGGAGGTGGAAACTGGATGATCTTTAAGGTCCCTTCTAATCCAAACCATTCTATGATTCTATAGTCCTTCAATAAGTGTGCTAGTCCTACTACATTGTCTTCTCTTCTTTACCATCATTTTGATGTTCTTTGTATGGATGTGCAAAACAAGGTGCATGTATATCAACCATTAATTGTAATTAGCAGTAATACAGCGCTACCCACTTTCATAGTCTTGAAACATTTTTGCCTACTCTTGTGCCAATTTGGGGAATGCTATAGAGATTTGTTATCTTTGAGATTTGCAGATATCTCAGATATCTGAGATTTGTATCATCTCTGAAAGACATTTTGACCATTTATTCCTAGTCATAAAAACATGAAACATTCAGATGCTCACAGGAACACACAATCATCTCTTTGAAACAGCTGTATTAAATGTACATTTGGAAAAAAAAATCACTCTAGTAGGATATATAGCCTAAACATTATTAATTTTCAGATATGCAGGACAAACTTTTATGTGATCATTTTGATTTGCATTCCCTAAACACAGCTGTATTCCTATTTGTACATGAGATACAATTCATACGTGAGTGAACAACTGAAGTCACTCTATACACTGACCACTGTACAGCTCTGATTT